GGTGTTGGTGGTGGTATAAAGATATTTCTCTCATGTCTTTAATCCCCCCCCCCCCCCCCCCCCCGTGGAATGAACTGTTTAAGGGTTATGATTTTTGGGTTTGTCCTTATATTAAACAAGACACTTTCCTGTTAGATTTTGTGAGAGTCCAGCTGCCTAAAATCTCTTCCAAATGTTTAATCAGGTCACCAGTCCTCCATCTGTCTGTATTGGAACACTGTCATCAGTATTTTTCCGAAGTATTGGATCTTTCGCAACACAAAATGCAGCATGGTCGCATTCCTAAATGAGAACAACAGATCGTGGGGCTCAATGAAATTCAAATAACTCACTAATATCCACTGCCTCTAACACCACAATCATGGCCTTAAATGTACTTTTTTTTTAACACTGGATTCATCGTCCACTCACCATGTCTATAATTAAATAGTCACAGCTGCTCTGGATGTGGGACACTATCATTTCCCCAAGAGCCATTAGACCACAATGAGACGAGAGGTTGCGGCCGTGATGTAGATATAAAAATGTGTTAATGTTTTGGTTTTTTTTTTAGCTCGAAGAGTTTTCATTATAATCACTGTCGTCATTGCCAGCGAAAATCCTCCTACCGCCGCACTGTATACATTTGAACCAGTTGTTTGTGCAGTGAGCAGCATAAACTAAGGATGTTTAGTTTAACGTCTATTCACATTCCCCTGTACCCAGACTGCTTTGCTCCTACAGCGGTGTCATAAAAAAAAAAAAAAAAACCTAAGCAGACATTTCTCTACATTCTTGAAGAATGTTGTTTAAATTAGGATTAAAGCTTTGAATGTAAAGTTTACATGACACACCCGTGTGCAGAGCAGTTACATTTGAACAACATCCTGACCAACAGGTTGGTGTCTTTGCTTGTTTTGGGTTTTTTTAAAGCAGATTTTTTTGTGTGTGTGGTTCTTTGGCCTGGATTTAAAACATTTCACAGAACTGAATCTGCATTTCTCATGTGCTGATCTCGTCTCACTTTCTGTGTCCTGGGGCCAAAGACTAAGCAGATTAAAAATAAAGATACAGTATGCGTTTCTCTTACCGGTTTGTTGGCATTTCTATCAGACAAATTAAATGACTTCTTCAGTCTGCTTTCGCTGCCTGCGTTGTATCTAAAACTGGGGTAGGCAAACTTTTTGACCCACATATGTAAAAGCCATACGTAAGTGCTTTTAGCCTTACTCCTGGTGGCAAAGTGACAGTCGACATTGTATTCTTTGAAAACCGCTACAGTCTCTCAGCATATGAGACATACAACTGTTGACTGGACTTCAGTGAAGAAATATTTTGTTGTCTGAAGGGTTGAAAGTTCAAATAAAGGGCAAAGTGACACGTTGAAGTAGAGAGCAGTACACCTCACCCCTGAAGTGTGCCATCTATTGGGAAAACACTGGAATTGTTCTCTAATGA